CAGTCTGGCCTCTTAGAGGCTTTATTTTTAATTATATAAAATGACAACAATTATGACTTCTAGGCAGACAGGAGATCATAGCACAGCCCTGACTCCAAGGGCCCATGGAAGCCTTGTCTTTCTGCCCATGACCCCAGCCTACCCTCTGCCTGTATTTCTTTTCCGTAATCCAGTTCTAGATTTCTGAGAGGTTGAAGAGGCATAAAATAAAGCGATTGTTTGTGAGTTGCTTAGGATCTAGTTCATGACCCTTGAAATAATAATTGCCTTGTGACATAAATTTCTATACTGTGCCTGAAAAATATATTTCCTGGGAACATTGCGGTTGAGTGCTGGTGGCACATGGCCAGAAGTATGCCAGGTACAGAGGAAAAATAGCTGAAAAATTCAGCTACTGATAATTCAAGAAAATAATCACCATGCATTAATAAAGAGTTATGCACACATACTGGCTGTGCTAACAGCCAAGGAAAAACAGTTAATGAATGAATGCCTTTTTAAGACACAGAGAAAGCTAATTGTTTCTGCTTAAGGTAAAATTTTATGTATTGATCAGAGGTATTTTCATATTAAATACCTCTTTAATTTAATTTTAATTTAATTTAATTTTAAGCTGGCCGAATTCAGCTTCCTGATAAGAAACTTAAGACCTGAAATTCAAATGTACTATGAAATTAAATCCACTGTAAACTTCAATAGTATTTTATTTGTACCAGGCTTAATCTTTTGCCACACAAAGAAGTTGAAGAGGAAAGGTATAAATGTTTTAACTAAAGGGCAATCAGAGGAATAATTTGTTAACTTTTCTAATTGTATTTTTCTACAGAGGCAAAATATATGTGAATAGGGACAAATAGAGGATATGAATAAAATGTAAACACATGTGAATTTAAGATATTTATTTACACGAGGCCTCATTGGCCTTCAGTCTCCTTGGATTGGAGGGGAGGAGTGCAGCAATATCCTTTCCACATGTGGGAGATACGAAGCTCCCCAAATGTCACCAGCAACCCACTTCCTAGTCCACTGCCCACCTTCTAACCAAGAGCCCTGACTCACTTTTATCTTAATTTTTCTCTGCAAAGGGGAGGGGATCTGAGGAAAGACAGAAACAGATACGGGATGAGAGAGATTACAGAAGCCTTTATTGGGGAGGTGGTCTGAGGATAAGTTCTCAGCCACTGGGCCATTGTCCACTGAAGGACAGCATGAGACCCAGAGATTCTCCTGGCCTTCCAGGAATTGGCTTGACCCAACTTTGGCTCTTAGCCAATTCACTAAGGCTAATGTGAAGATGAGTTTTATAATCCCTGGTTAATATTTATATAGTTTTTGAATGTGAGAAAAAGGTGCATTCCTTACTCGTTCATGGCTCAGGGCAACGCTGTCATGTGTGCATGCTCCTGGTAAGAGCCCAGTGAACTCTGATTTCATCCTCAAGCCACGAAGAAGGAGTTATTGCTATCACCCACCTCCCAGCTGAAGAACCAGTGGGCTGAGCATTGACTCATGGGCCTGGTGAATAAACAGCATGAATATGCTCAGTGCTCTGTGCCTCTGTGCCCGTTTCTCCTTTGGTCCTCAACAATTACCTTAAAAGGTTCCTTGTATTTATTACTTAGAATTTGACACATAAGAAAACTAAGCCTTGGAGTGAGAAAACAACTTTCTCAGAGTGACACAATTTATTAGCGTGTCTTATTAGAAGCAGAGAGGTCAGTCCATACGCCTTCACAGGGAAGGTGGGAAGGTCCCACATGCAGCTGTTTAACTTCCTCCCATACAAGGACTCCACAAGGCAGTCTCAGGAGAATGGGTGTCCTGGTTGCTCCATGGGATGTCCCACAGCTAGGGCCCCACCCTAAGCAGGAAGAGATTTTTAGTCCTAGTCATTGAGAAGAAAATCTATCGATTCACTCTCACTTTGCTCTTTGTTCTCAGTCTGCTATTGTTCAGCATCACAATTAAGTGCCGCATTGATTTGGGCGTCATAGTTCATTTGCCTAATTTTCCTTAAGTGTTTTTTAAAAATGATTTGTTTTTATGTTGGGGGAATAAGAAGGGACACAGGCACGTAGACTGGCTGAGGAGAAAGTATTCCATTCTCTTTAGTACTAATCTGTTATTGAAAAAGACAGCTCCACATTTGCTTATTAAGCCACAGGCAGCAACATACTTCCTTCCCTGTCCTGGAGAAAACTTTAGAACCAACAGAGAAATGATTCCATTGAGAGTGCTACTGAGGGATCCTGGGGTGAGGTGGGAGATTTTCAAGGGTCCTCCAGATAGTCCAAAACACAGGAGCAAAAGCAGAAACGCCCAGGATGGACTGCAGTGACCCGCTGTCCCCCACTGAACATCTCTCCCTACTGTACTTTCTCCTTCTGGTTCCCTTTCTTCCCCCACTTCCAACAGCAGAAAGAGAAACTGAACTATCACTTCTGCCATTATCAGAAGCCTCTTAGGAATCCCCAGGGGAGGCCACTGATCCTTGGCCACAGTGGTTTGTTCTTGGAAACCCTGATGGATGACATTTAGCAGGAGGATTTGATATTCAAGGTTATAGTGGGCTACACAGCTGCATAGTGAGTTCCTGAGATACATAAGATTCTGTCTTGATACAAAACAGATAAAGAAAGAAACTTTTCATAGCACAATACAATGTCAGATCAAACAAATGACAAGACTTATTCTTCATAGTACCTCACAAAAACATTGTGAGAGTCACTGAAAGAATAATGGAATAGCCTCCTTGTCCACTCACATCCCTGCACAGGTCCTGTCTCTGTTGAGATTCAGACAACAGTAGATGGGTAATGGCAGGCCTGGCCAGGAATGTAGACTTAACAGGCAGAGACACCACCAGAGATCAATTGAATAATTTTGCATGGGAGCAGCACGGTCCCTGCAAATCTAGTAGGTCTTAGATATATACAATACCAGGGCTCTTCTGCGGAAATTCCGAGTCAGTGGGTTTGGGGTGACGATCAGGATATGTTTTGCAAAAAGCACTCAGATAAGATGGGAATTTCTTGGTAATTACTTGAACTTCAGTGTTTCTGCCACCATGCTTGGTACGTTCTGAAAGCTATCTAGGGGTTATATGTGGGTGCATCCAGGGTTCTGGAAAAGGAGGTCCACATACTCTGGGGAAATGCTGGTAACTCCAGGAGAGCCAGGAGTCCTCAAGTACAACCAAGGGCACAGAAGACCAGGCCTTTTCTCACTGGTTATTCTTACGACCCACCATCTGGAATAGGAGAGCCTGCTCCTCTAGGCCTCAGCTTCAGCACCGCGCCTATCGCTCAGAGCATCTTCAACCTAATGGCCTTAGGTTAACAAAAGCTGAGGCCCAGTTTATTGGGTGTGATCAGCCTTTAGAGGTTGTGAGGTCAAGAACTGAAAAATGACTAAGATGTGCCTGCTAATGTTGAGTAATCTCAGCCAGAGATGGACACACTGACAGCTCACTCTGCATGTACCTGGACAGGGGTCTGAGAGGTTTGAAGAGAGGGCTAAGGAGCATGAACGAGTGAATGTCTAAGCCTCTGTGAAAGCAGAAGGAATATTTGAGGACTAAGTCTCAAAGGATGAATAGGTAAGGCTGGGGAGATGTTTAGAGGTACAATGCTTGCCTAGTATGTGTGAGGTTCTAGGTTCCATCTAAGCACCACAAAAACAAACAAACAAACAAACAAAAAAACCAGATAGATGTTTCTTTTGGGAAAAATACCTCCATTTCATAGGAATCTTGTTCACAGTAAAGTCCCCTGTGATGGCATGTGCTCCTGGCCTCCCAGTCAGAACTACTCCCTTCCCAAAGCACTCAGGTAAGGAGCCTGGCCAAGAGGAGCCCTCTGGGAGTATTGCTTATGCTGTGGGAAAGGCGTTCCCTCTTTTTGTGGAATTTTTGCTCTAAGGATGACCACTGAGGGCTGTCAGCAGCTGAGGTATCACCAGTGGAGAGGGACTGGCCAAATGCTTTGGGGTTGAGTCACTCAGACTTTAAACGTGAGAGTGATGCAAGCAAATGTGTGTTTGGAATGTGATGCTGGTGTCTGTGTGGAGGAATGCCTGGATTAACAGAGACTGGACCCTGGAATCTAGGGAGGAAGCTACCAGAACAGACTGGTACAGAGGTGACAAGGCCTCTACTCTCCCCAGTGCCCAGAAAGCAAGAGGCAGAGCTGAGAGTTAGTTGGGAGGTGGAGAAGACAGAGTGCCGTGACTGGGGAGGAACGAGGTCAGAAGGGATTCGGGCACACCCAGATCTGGACTCTGCTTGCTACTTCTAATGGCTGTGGGATCTTATTCAACCTCTTTAAGCCTTGGCTTCTGTGTCTACATACTGGCAGTGATAACAACGCATACTTCACAGAATTGTTGGAGGATGAGATAAAGCAAATGCACAAAAAAGCATGTAGCACAGTGCTGGACACCGAGTGACTCTCTGTAAATGACAGCTCTTTCATGGAGAGTGATGAAAAAGAAAACGAAAGAATGGCCCTAAAGTCCCTGCTTAAGAATCTAGGCAAATGCTGGTGGAATTAATGGAATAGTGCAGGAGTTTGCTAGAAAGGGAGGATGGAAGTTGTTTTGAGACATACTGAGTCATAAATCCCTGTAGGACTTTGGGGTAGGGGTATCCAGCAAGCCATGGGGCTCAGAGCTCAAGGTTTGGTAGACACTCTCTGATAGAAGGTCAGTGGAACCATGGCAGATAGGAAAGAGTTAAGGACAGTTATGTGGTAAAGGGAGAACAGGCAACCAGTAGAGTCATAAAGTTAGCAGGGAGATGTGAGGAAAGTTTTATTCAAGTGTGGATAAGCTGTGGAAAACAGGGTATGTTAGGAGGCCGCAACACTTCTAAGTTCCTCGTGGGGATGGGGTTATGAAAGGTTAAATCCAATACCATTTGACTGGCTAATGGATCTCCAGCCTTATCCATGAGACCATTTAAGAAGCTTACCACGGCCTTCCAGTGGGTTGCTGCCTCTTACCTCCAGGTATTGATTAACCAGGTGAAGGGAGCGGTCCGTGATGTTAAATATGTCCCTCCAGTCAAAGTTGGTTGCGTCGTCAGCCTGGTTCTCTCGGGGACCCTTATAGAGGAAGTTTAGTATGGGTTCAGTGGTGATGCCATCTTCTCCGAGCTGCCTATTCACAAAGTCTCTTACTGTTGGGTGCTCTAGGGTATCCTTAGGAAGGAGAAACAGAATCACAGAGATTAGGAATTCCATAGGATCTTTGGTCTTATTCTTAGGCCACTTCAAATTTTTAATGATTCATGATTGAGACACTAAGGCTCACTAAAAAGCCTGTAAGTTTTCATCCATTTTGAGGCATATGTACCCTCTGACCCATTTTCCTCAAACACAGGGGCCTCTAGAATAGAGGAGAGACAAGTATGGAGTGGGGGAGGGGTAGCAGTGAGCCTGTGGAATCATATAAAAGCTTCCCTTCTCAATGTATCTTTGCTTTGTTCTCTTTATGTTATGCAGAGCTCTTGCCTCTTGGTTTCACAAAATTGCAGATGAGACCAGATAGACACAAGTCACTGTCTTTGCAGTACAGAGCTGGCCCCTTGGGGAGACATTCCTCTGAACCCAAGACCCTCAAGTGAATTCATGAAGTCAAGAAATCTTGGAAAGACACTGATTGTGGCAACTTTTAAATTTCTCCCAGGATTCAAGAAACATATTCCTCACTCAGTGTCAGTGACCCTACTTGGTGAGCACTCAGAATTAGTGCTTTTGTGTCCTGTTTGGTATAGTTTGAATCTAGCTCTACTAGTGATTACCTGTTTCTCTGGCCCTTGCCCCATCCCCAGCCCCCATCCTCTATGTGAGCACCCTTACTCTGATCATGGCCATCTGGGTGCTCTTCTCAAAGAAGTACCAGATCTGGGGCCCTACTTCTTCCCAAGATTTGACTGGCTTTCTAACACGTTCCAGTTCTTCAAAAGTTGAGTTGGCCTCAAAAAGCAGGCAGAGGAAGAGAAAGAACAGAGAGGAAAATATGTTAAAAAGAACCTTTGGTTCTGTCTTGCTCCTGTCATAAACCTTTAATGTTTGGGCAAGACTCTTCATGGAAGTGCTTTTACTCTCTCAGAACAGGACCATTTCCCAGCCTCCAGGATTGACAGAATCCAATTGGTTAGTATCTCAGAGGCACATGTAACATTGATGTTATTGTCTCAGAGCCTCATTAAGTTATATTTGAGCTCCTAGTGAGCAAATGCTCTTCCTCCCTATCTTTGTATGTTCCAGGAAGCCAGGATTCCGAGAATGGTGAACCCTTCCATTATGGACATAATTCAGGCAGTGGGAAAGAAAATCTCATAGGGTGCAGTAGAGAGGGGAGATCTAAGCCGGGGCACTGGAGTGAGGCATTTCTACCATGGCGTGGCTGAGGGAGGAAACCCATACCATTTACGGAAAAACAGAGGACTCATTGCCAGGAACATATTAAAACATATACACATCACCACCACCGCCACCACTCATTCACTCTCTTCTGGGAGGTCCAAGATATAAGGGAACTAAATAAACCAGCTGGGATCTTACACGCTTCAGTATCCTCCTCACAGCAGGGGAATCTGGAGTAAAGAGGATTTTTCCCATCAGCAAAGGCTTTGCTGCCCTCCAGGCTATTTTGGTTAAAGGGTTTGACTCCAGGCTCTGGATCAACGTATTACAAAAGGATGCTGTCAAGAGAAAAGGGACAGGAGAAACTCCCTGGTGCTCATAACTGAACATAGTCATTAGTGCATCAAGTCACATGTCTTAGTTTCCTTCAGTTCCACACTGGAGGGTTGAAGGAATAATCTAAATTATTAGGTTGGACCCTACCAATAACAAGCTCATCATTAGTGACAAAACACCACAGTGTTTCTTGATAATGACCTCCACAGTGAGACAAAGGACAGGGCTTGCCTGGTGGTTTATTCTGCCTAAAAGAAGGAAGCTGAGAAGCCTGCTTGTGATTATTGCAAGGGACAGAGGCCATTCTCAGATGAAAGGGAGTGAACGCCCAAACAAGGGCCCCTCGTTGGAATCCCAACTTCAGCCTCAAATAATTTCGTGTCCATTAACTGTTTCTCTTCTTGTCTCTGTCTCAGGGCCCGATTCCTTTTGGTGTGTCTCTTGCTGTCTTTTTGTAATTTCAGAGCTGCCCCCAACCCCCAAAATAGTGAAAGTGAGGAAGATGATTTGTCAGGGACTTGCCAGCCGCTTGACTTGCCAGGACCCTGCTGACCTGAACTTTGTTGGAGCCCTGTGTTGCCTCCTCATTTACCATTCTTCTCTTCCTCTGGACTTAACTCCAGTTCAGTTACATCAGTGGGAACTGTCCCCTCTGTTCCCTTTCCAAGTGGGCCTCAGCACTTTCCATGGCTTACATCCAGAATCTTTTATGCACACCACTCTGTTCTACAAGGGGAAGCGGACTTTCTGGAAGAAGTCCATTTTGCCCAAGGCCACTTAATAAGACCAAGGAGAGTAGACCCCAGAACTAGTTTCTCCTTGAAGTGTTAACCTATCATCTTTTTTATTTGTGTGTATGCATGTGTGTGTGCAAGTGTGCATGCATGTGTATAGAGGCCAGAGGACAGCCTCGGCTTGTCATGCCTTAGGTGCTATCCACCTTGTTTTTTGAGACAGAGCCTAGCACTTTCCTGGAGCTTACCAAGTAGGTAGGCTGGCTGGTCAGCAAACTCTGGGTATCGTCATCCTCCCCAGTGCTGTGATTAGAAGTGTGTCACCATGCCTGCTTTTTAAAAAAAATGTGAATTCTGGGAATCAGACTCAGATCCCTGTGCTTATATGGCAAACGCTTTACCAACTGAGCTATCCCCTGAGCCTCCTACACCCCAACCTATCATCTTAACACTAGAGGTGATTTGCTTCAGAGAACTTACTTGTCCTTTTGTCATAAGAATAGGCAGGATCTTTCCTTGTGGAATCAATCCCAAGGAAGGCCTTGTAGTTACTGTCTTCATACCAGTTGAAGGAGAATACCCGAGAGCCTCCTCCCTCTGGGTAGCCACATAGGAGGTCAGACAGGCTGCCCAACAGCTGTGTGAAAGTCTCAGGACCACTGCTCTGCAGGAGGGGTCTGGTTACCCTTAGCAGGTCTTGAACACTTGACCCATGAATGAACTAGGGGGAAAAACTTTGGGTAATCTTAAAACAGCACTTTTTCATATACATTTAATTTCTACATCTAAAAGGAAACACCTATATTTTCAGTTTTGTTTTGTTTTGTTTTGTTTGAGACGGGGTCTCACTATGTCATCTTGGCTAGCCTGGAATGTACTATATCAACTAGGCTGGCCTTGAACTCACAGAGATCTGACTGCCTCTACATCCTGAGTGCTAGATGCAACACCCACCTGACTATCCTCAGTAATTCTTAATTCCGCTGAGAAAAACAAAACAAAAACCAACCGAACAAAAACTTATAGCTCCCCCCACCAAATTATTAACTTAATTTTATCACACGAGCTCTTCTGCTTAATTAAGACAGGTATGTGTATGCATGTGTTTAAGATTCAAGCAAATTCTGTACAGAAGATGTCTCCCTTCTTAGAACACTTTTCCAGTTCTGTGTCAACCAGTAGGAGCCTGGTATTCTTCTCTCCCTATGGGTGTCGTGGCACTTGTGGCCTCATCCTTGAAAGATAGATCTGTGATGCTGAGAACAAGGTTGAATGACACTGCAAGAGTCACCAGTGTCTTGGTTCCCATAAGCTACTTGGCTTTATTTTAAGGGAAAATATAAAATAAAAACAGTAATGCTTTTATTCACCAACCACACCTTACCACTCACATTCAAAGGCATTTGGGAATTTTAAAAACCATTAAGATTCAATCAGGCGAGACGGAAAACATTCTCCTACTGCTATCAGTGATGTTTACCTGTGGTCTCCCTCTTTGTGCCCATGCCAACACCCGCTTTCTGAAACCGATGAGCACTGACTGTGAGGAATCCACCTATTAAGTCACTTCTATAATCAGTCTATGCTTCAGTAAGAAAGTCAAAAATCTCAAATTGCTTCAACAACGTGGGTCTTATTGCCATCTCAGAAGGGGTTATTACTGTTATTATGCACTTATTTAATCAAAGCACTCAGAAATGAAGGGCTGTGCCACGGTCAAATGGTCTAATATCAACTAACATAAACTGGGCCATCTGCTTCAACCTGGTTCACAAATGCTTAGACCTGCTATCTGGACAGGCAAGGAATCTTCAGCTCCCACACAGAATTCAAAGTGTTGATATGCTTTGGGAAATTGTTTACATTCTCTCTTGACTTCACCACTATTACACTGATAGTTTAAAAATCCTGTGACAAGAATAATGCTAAGGACTCCCACTGCAGCAGGTGGCCATCAGCACAACGGGCTTTTCTCTCTGCTCTTCCCAGACTGACCTTAGTTTTATAAAAACAGGTTCCAACCAAGCTATTTTCCAAGTTGGCTAGGAATATCAAAGGTGGGAAAGTTCTGGGAAAATCACATTACTTCTCCTTTTCATAATATTCATCACTTGAAGAAGATTGCTTATTTCACACTTCTCCTCTTTGTTGGCTGTGTTCCAAAGGCACAGTGACTACGTGTGTCTATTCATCATTCTATCCCCATCACCGCTCAACTATTAAGTGGAAGAATCAATTTCTATATTTGAGAAGTCTTAGGCAATCAGATATTAATTACAATGTGTACATATTTCATAAAACAACACAAGCAAGTCACTCTGGAGGGTATGAAATGAGTCTATGTAGGCAAAGCCCTTAGAACAGCACCTATAAGCATTATGTAAGTATACTCTGTTGTTATTGGTGGCATAGTGGTTAATGGATCACCTCAGAGCTAGAAAGATTTAAACTAGATTGTAATTTCTGTGATGAATTGTGCCATACAGATGACTTCTTGGTATAGAATCATAAGGATGTTTCTTTTCTTTTGGCCTCCTACCTAGAAGTGGAGATCATTTAGGATATGAACAGATGATTTTAAATTGCTAGAGAGAAAAAGCAAATGAACTTCTCCCTGAACAGGTGTGAGGTATGATTAAATTACTTGACAGAGTGTGATAAAATAGTATAATGAAATGGAGATCTTTTTTTAAAGTTTAAAACCTAATTTAATTTTATGTCTTATAGGGTTTATATGGAGTACAATATTGTATAACTGTATTAATTCAACTATAAACCTAAAAATTTACATCCAATTTTGAAAGAGATGCATCTTAGCTCTGGAAATTGTTATTGAATATGTCAATGCTGTTGTAATGAAATGCTTCTTCTAATTATATGGTTATTAAGTAAATAATTTAAAAAATAGTATAAAGACATAATAAAATTATAATAAATAACACCAGGAATCTTACCTCTTGAATTCTTGGTGACGTATCAGATAATATCCTTCCCCAAGATCTGAAGTTGATACTTTGAGAATTGCTGTCTAGGAGTGTGGGAAGCTGTAATTGACAGAAAAAAAAGTTTTAATGTAGTTGCAGGGCTGGGGAGATGGCTCAGTTGATGAAGTGCTTGCCATACGAGCATGAGGACATGAGTTTAGACCCCAGAACCCACATAAAAGCCTGGCTTGGTGGCACAAGTATATAATCCCAGTGCTTGGAGATAGAGACAGAAGAATCCTGGGGACTTCCTGTCCAGCCAGTCTTGCCAAATCCAGTGAGTTCCAGGCCAGTGAGAGATCCTGTCTCAAAAAATAAGATGGAGATCAAGAAGACACCTGATATAGACCTCCAACTTCTACAATGTATGTACACAGATGTGCACTTCCACATGTGTGTATGCAAACAAACATATACATACATATACATGTATAAAAATATGTGGTTGCATACATATACATATGTGTGGATGTGCACACATGCACACACACACACACACACACACACACACACACACAGAGGCGCTATCTGATTTCCTACATGCTTGAAAGCCATTCTCTCCTTTCTGACTGCAGGACTTTTTATGTAAGATTGTTTCCAGAAACAAAATGCTTTCATCTAATTGAGAAAAATAAAAGGCTCTTATTCCAACTTTCCCTGCTGAGGTAGTCAATCACAAATAGTTTCATGGTGACATTAAATACACCAAAGTGATTCTGATTGCTGGCTTAGTGACACCAAACAAGACTCCCGGAGATAGGAAAACAGTGCAGCTGGTGGAGTATGAAGGCAGGGGATGGGGAGGGCGGCCATCTGTTCCCCTTGGGGTTCTGCAGACCCTGCCAGGCTGCCTCCATTGCTCATACTTTCCCCTTTGTGTCCTTTCCAGGAAGGTTGTATCTCTTCCTCTCTCGTGGAAGATTCTGCCAGTTCCATCAGCTTTCTTGTAAATCTACAGTTGGCACAGATCAGAGAGAATTTCCTTTGCCAGTCCTCCAGCTGAGAGCAGCATTCAGGTAGGGCTTGACCATGGGACAGCTCAAGACTGTGTATTTTCCATCTTTGGTGATTGGGAACACCAAAGTCCTCAGTTTTGCTGCCTCCCAGCTGCAGATCCTGATGTGAACACCATGTTCAAGTCCTGATTGGTTATTCTTCGAAGTGTCAAAATGGATTGCATCACTGGTAGTCCCTTATAAAAAGTCTTTTGGGAATGAATTCAGGTTTTAAGACAATTGTTTTCAAATTAAAGGGAACACCTTGAGTGGCCTAGAGGGAATCCTGGGCAAAGCTTAACTTTCGTCCTCATTCAAGGGTCATAGATCACAAGCCATGAGCCTTGGACTCTTTCATTTATGAGAGCGGTTTTCCTGAAGGATGGTTGGGCTGGTCTAGCATGGGGCAGAAGCTGAGAGGCTGCTGTAGTTATGCGTGGGCCACTTGGGCGTCCATGTCTTCCTTCATCCTTGTCTCACTTTCCTTCCTTCCTGTAGCAGTAACAGAAGCTTTGTATTTTCTCTGCTCCTAAACCTGTGGGATATATTTAGGACACTCGGGACATTAGCATGTCAGTTTTTCTAACTGCTAAATGAGAGGCCCTGTCATGCATGAGAGATATAAGCAGATAAGAGAAAAACTTTCCTAAGGGAGCAGCTGCAAAGCTGCCATTGGAACCACAGCACTGAGACCAGCTTCCCTCTGGCCTGAGCACTGGAAGCACTGGTCTTGCCAAGACTTCTTTTCAAATACCATTCAAATAGTAGGCAAATCACCTTAATCCCTGTTTTTCCTATAGGCTGAGGGGGTTGAGTCCAGTAGGAAGGAAGGGAGGAAGCAAATAAACAGGTCAAAACATGTCAGTGGAATGTTATCACCAAGTCCCGCCTGTGCTCCCTCCTAACGATCATGAGAGATGAAAAGGGACTGAATATCAATAAATATCAATATAATATCATGTGGACTTCTGGTTCTGACTTGGATGAACCAACTGAGGTGGGTAAGTGGACATGGACTTGACTGGACTGGATAACAGGCATCTTAAAATTTGTTGGGTGTGATCATAGTGTCATGATGCTGGCAAAATAAGTTTGTTATCTGTTGGAGATACTTAGGGGATATGCAAGGGTGAAATGATAGTTTGCTTGTATTTTGTTTAGAAAATGTCAGCAAATAAAGGCAGAGAACAGTTAAAATAAGAACTAAACCAAATGTTGATGGTAATTGGATCTGTGTAATGGGTCTATGGGGTTCATTGTATCAGTCACTCTACTTTGTATACCTATTCTAGACTAAGACGTTTAATAATAAGAGAATATTTATGCAGAAATAAATCACTGAATAAATGACTACTAAGAAAATACTTCGTCATTTTCTTCTTCCCCACTAGGATTGTCCTTTTTACTTATCTCTGAGTATTGCAACAAAATAAACTTATTTAAAAAAATTATTGAGTATTTACCTACATATATGTATGTGGATCTTGTGCATGCTTGGTGCCTCCAGAGGCCAGAAGAGGTCATTGGATCCCCTGGAACTACCATGGTTGTGAGCCACCATGTGGGTGCTGGGAACTGAGCCCAGGTCCTCCACAAGAGCAGCAAATGCTCTTAACCACTGAGTCATTTCCCCAGTCCCCAGAATAGCCTTCCTGCTGGTCCCCTCGCCTCTGTGGTCTTCTCTCTTCTGTGGCCTGAGCCATCAAACTTGCCAATCTAATCATGCCACTTCTACTCAGAAGTCTTTGATGGCTCCCTACTGTCTCCGGGAGAGAAGGTCAAGATCAGTGCTAGACATGTGACCAGAGGTGGTGTCTGGCTCCTTCTCCAGGCTTCTTGTTGCCTCTCCTCTGCCGTGCTGGACTCTTGCCTCCTTTTACACATCAGTCTCTTGCACACCCCATTACTCTGCACTCAGCATCCTACTCTCCTTTCCTAGTCTACTCTTTCAAGTTTTGTTCTTTTTTTGGTCTTTTTGAGACAGGGTCTCCCTGTAGCCCCAGCTGTCTTGGAACTCACTATGTAGACCAGGCTGGCCTTGAACTCACAGAGATCCGCCTGCCTCTGCCTCCCGAGTGCTGGGATTAAAGGTGTGCGCCACCACACCCAGCTAAGTTTTGTTCTTTTTAAACAGTGTTTGTTTATGGGGACTAGAGAGATGGCTCAGCTGTTAAGAGAACTAATTGCTCTTGCAGAGGACCTGGGCTTGATCCCCAGCACCCACATGGTGGCTAACAACTGTCTGTAATGCCAGTTTCAGGGGAATCCAATGTCCTCTTCTGACTCCATGGGCATTGCACAACATGGGTGCACTTACACACATGCAGGCAATATACTTATAAAAATAATAAGTAAAATAAAAAAAATATGGAGCTGGAGTTACAGATGGTTGTTAGCTGCTATGTGGGTGCGGGAAATCAAACCCTAGTCTCTGCAAGAGCGGTCAGTGCTCTTAACTGCTGAGCTATCTCTCCAGCCCTTCAAGTTTCACTCATAAAATGAGCTATGAGAAAGACAGTCATCACTGGGCACATTTCACTACTCTTTTCCCTAAGCCTCTGCTTGCTCTTGCCCTGAGGCTTTGAAGGCACCTTATTTCTCTTTTCCTCTTGCGTTCTTCACTAGTGCTTACTCTTATTTACATGTGACCTGTGTCTCTTATACATTCTAAGCACCATGTAGACAGGGACTGTATCTGTGTGCTAGGCTCACAGTAGACATTCAATATCTCTGATAAATGAGTAAATGTTCTTACTAAAATAACAAGCAGACTGAGTATAACTGTCCATGTGCAGGGTACTCTTGAAATGCTATGCTCACTAAGGATGAGGATTTTACGTTTCTATTTTTGAATGCTTTAAAATTCTTATCCATTACATTTCCTGTAGGAGCTCAGGAAATACTTGGGAATCATAAATCACATGTTTTGCTTTTGTTTTTTGAGACAAGATCTCATGTAGCCCATGATGTCCTTGAACTTGCTATGTAAGGGATGAGTTTTAATTACTGGTCCTTCTGCCTCTACCTCCTAAGTGTGGGGATTACAGATGCTACGATTTATGTAGTGCTGGTGACTGAACCCAGGCCTTCATGTATGCTAGTCGAACACTTAACCAACTGAGCTACATACCCAGCCCAAAATCCCATGTTCCTTAGAGACTGTGATATATGCTCATCATTGTTCAGTCAAAGAATACTTTGCAATGCAAGTCTACTTTTAAGTTGCCTTTTGTTGGGGCCAGGAGGAGTATTTTTTAAATTTTATTTATTATTTTTATTTTTGTGTATGAATGCATTGCCTGTATGACTGTAAGTGCACCCATGTTGTACAATACCTGTGGAGATCAAAAGAGGGGATTGGATTCCCCTGGAACTGGAATTACAAATGGTTGTTAGTGGCCATGTAGGTGCTGAGAACTGAAACTGAGTCTTCTACAAGAGCAGCCAGTGCTCTTAACCACTGAGCCATTTCTTCTCCAACCCCAGAATTTCCCATGAGTTATGAAAGAGGATATAAAGCTAATTTTTTTTCTAGTTTCAACTCTGTTAAATTTGTGTGTGGGTATGTGTGGGGGGCGTGTATGTCTCTGTGTCTGTGTGTATCTGTGTGATGGATATTGGAATTCAACTTCCTATGTATTGAGGATGTATTGAGGTAGCAAGAACCATTTTGCATTCCCAAAGAATCCAACATGTCATTTCTTTGAGGCAGTGATTATGATAGTTGGGCTTTTTAAAAATTCCATTGACCATAAATGCAATAGGAATTAGACATGACTAACCACTGAATACATTTGTCCCATTGACCCACGTAGAAAAAGTAATTTTAAAATTCTGTTTAGAACTATATCAAGTCATTCTATTATAGTGTTATTTAATATGTAAAATACACTGATAGATATAAGAGCACTGGCTGCTCTTACAGAGGACCCGGGTTCAATTCCCAGCAACCACATCGTGGCTACAAACCATACTTAACTCCAGTTCCAGGGGAATCCGAAGCCCTCTTCTGACCTCTGCGGCATTGCACGACATGGGTGCACTCATATACGTTCAAGCAATACA